ACAAGGAAGCTGTATTCCAGAGTTAACACCCTTCAGAAATGGTGCAAATGGCAAGACAAAACCATCACCAAGCTAGTTGACTGTGTTAGGCAGCTTAAGAAGAAGGTTAAAAAGCTCACAGCTCCGGCCGCCTCACCCAAACGAGATACAAGAGAAGAGGTGGGGGGAAGCTCAGCTGCTCATGACCTTGTGCTACCACCAGGGAAAGAAGATTGGGTGAACCTGGCCACAGCTTTCCAACCAGACTCACCTGAGAGCAGCCCACCCAGATACTCCACTCCATCATGTTCCACCTCCAATCCATCCCACTACTTGGGATCAGACCTCAGCGATTGAGGTACACACTCAAAACCTTGTAAATAGCATGTAGACTTTCTTTTCCTTTTGCATTTTACTTGGTTGCTTTGATTTCACTTCTTTCTCATACTTTTATAACACAAGGGACTGTGTTATTTAAGTGTGGGGGAGGAGTTTCATCCTTTACTAATCATGGTTTCTATTTTCTTATTTTACACTTTGAGTCTTGAGTCACATTCTAGTTGCATATTCATCTAAGTGCATATAAAAACCAAAAAAAAAAAAATGGAAAAATCTGCAAAAATTTACACAAAAAAAAATGACCATGTAGTTGCATTCTCATTTTTAGTATTGAGTCTAGATTGCATATGCATGTAGGTTGCATCTTGCAGGGAGTAATGATAGGTTTTCTAGAGAGTACATCACTTTGAGAACTTGAATTGAATATGCTTGTGAATATTTTTCTGTGCTTGCAAAGTCTGAAATGATCTGAATCTGAGAAACAAGTTTGAATTGAACTCAACTCTAATTAAGTGAAAACCCTGAACTTGACTTGAAATTATCATTTGGTGCATTGTTTGAACAAGCTTGTGGATACCAATATACATATTTGAGCTAGAATCCTGTTTTTACCATCCTCTTCCTTAGCTCAAATAGCTGAATCTGCATAATAGATCAGTTTTCCTCACCCTGAACACATCCTTCTTTCAAGCCAATTGTTTGTGTGTGATTGAGAGGCCAACTTGGACCAAACTTAGCAGAAAGTCTTAGGTTTAGGGCGACAAGGGCAAGTCTCATTGAGTGCTAAGTTCCATCATCAAGGAGCTGAGAGATTTGGCAAGAACTAAGTGTGGGGGAATACATGTTGGTGAGTGGAAAAAGGAGAGATGAGTGGAAATGAAAGGAGAATGGTGAGAACTAGGGGAATGGAGAAGAAAAGAAATCAGTCTTGGAGTTTTGAGTCAAAGAAAGTGAGCTCTAGTGTTTTGAAAAGAAAGAGTCTAGCCTCTAAGTGAAAAGAAAAGAAGCCAAAGAGCTCAAATGTTTTAAAAAAAAGAAAGAAAAAAAGAAGAGGTTAGAGGTTACAAAAGAAAGTGAAAAAGAGCTATGTAAAGTTTGAACTCCAAGATTTGTGTATGAAAAAGAAAAGAGAGTCCCCTAGTGAGAGAAGAATGAGTGTGAAAAGTGAGCAAGTGAGGAAACTTTGAGTAGAGTGTGGGGTGGGATGAGTCTTTGCCCTTGTATGCATAGGTTGCCTTTTACCTTTAGCATTCTGACAAAGTTTGGTCATTCATTGAGAGGTCCTTTTGCTGCATTGAACCCACTCAAGCATTGATGAGATCATTTTAGTCTCATAACCTCACCCTAGCCAAACTATGTTTGTTTAAACAATGCACCATTTGATCCACTTGTTAAAAAGCTTAATGAATGTTAAAGAGTTGAGAGAGAGAAGAACTTGTGGAGATTCCTTGTTGACTTGATATATATCTGAGTATGGCTTTGCATTGCATAATTGAGCATGAACTTGAATTCTCATTGTGATCACTTCTCTCAAAAAGGATATGTGAACTCCCAATGCATCCAACCTCTTTCTCTCATTTGTTCTTGTTTGCTTGAGGACAAGCAAAGGACAAGTGTAGGAGAGTTGATATGTTCATAATTTGCATCATTTAGGTGCATAATTCATTCTAAATCATGTTTTATTCCATGCATTTTAGGTCCTTAGGGTTTGTTTTAGAACTTAGGAGATGCATTAGGTCCCAATGAGTCTTTGCATGTTTTGAGTGTTCATCAGGTGCATTTGGAGCTGAAAAGATGAATCCAGGAGGTGGAATGGTGATCAAAGCTTGAAAAGTGGCAAAAATTGGGTCTATGGAGGTTATCGGCCATTCTCGCTGGCCAGGAAGGTTTTGTCGACCATTTTCACGTACCGCGGGTGGACTTTGTCGACCAAAACACGTACCGCGAGTGAAGTGTATCGGCCAAAATCTCCGGGTGCAAACGTGTCTCAGAAATCGCCTGTCCGGGGAACCTTCCGATCCGATTCAGATGGCGGGTGCTTCATAGACGTTGGAGAGCATTGGATCACGGTCTCATAGCAAGTGGAATCGTGGAATTCGGACGCGTGAGCAGAGAGTTAAGCTCGTCGGAAGGAACCCCTATCTCGCAGGTATTCCGGACCGAGCAGATCAGTTCTGAAGGATGCGAAGGACGGTGCACTTCCAGGCCGATTCAGTTTCCGGGTCCTTAATGAGAATCAGAGACATTTGAGTCATCTTTCCAGAACGTCCAAGAGCATTGAATTCGGATCTATGAGCAGGAAGATAAGGTCTCCGGAATGGACACATGTCTAGACGCCTCTCTCTGGTCGTGTACATGCACTGCAAAGATGTGCCCTCCAGGAAGCCTTACACTTCTCAAGCACCGAAGATTTTCTTCACCAAAGTTGGAGATAAATGAGTCCTCTGTCTTCTGCAACCAAAATCATTCAATTCGGACAAGTCTCCAGGAAGTTACACTCTCCGGAATGCGAGATGGTCCAGACAGCCCAGAATGACTAAGTTAAACATGCCGCGATGGAATGCCACGGTCCACACTTGGCCGTGGCAACTTTTGTGCACCCTCGGCCAATGACACGATCTTCATGCCACGGTCTACACTTGACCGTGGCAAACATACACTTGGCTGAGAAGAACTTTGCAACCATTCGGCGATTGACACGGCCTAGATGCCACGGTTTGAGGCTTGACCGTGGCAACTCCTGCAAACCTTCGGCGATTGGCACGAGCTGAATGCCATGGTCTGGGACTTGACCGTGGCAAATGAACAATTGGCTGGAGACAACTTTTACACAGCTTCGGGTTTTGGCACGGTTTCAATGCCACGGTCTGAGACTTTACCGTGGCAAACAAATACTTGGCTGGGAAGGATTTCACATACATGCGGGTTTTGACACGATCTGAATGCCATGGTCTAGGAGCTTGACCGTGGCAACCTTTACACATCTTCGGCGTTTGACACGGTGACTTGCCACGGGTTCCAGACGAAGCTTGATCAGACCGTGGCATCAAAAGGGACCAAGAACACAAGTGAAGACTTTGACACGGTCAGGATTGCCACGGTCACACCAAGAACACACCAGACCGTGGCAAACCCATATTTGCCCACCAAGGCCAGGTCAGTACCTGGTTTGTTCCGGGTTGACCCGGTTCGTCCAAGCCTCCTTTATAAGGTTTTTAGACCTAATTTGTAGAGAACCTGGAATCTACTTTTAGTTTTATTTCCCCTTTGGTGAAAACCTACTTAATACACTTTGTTTTAGAGAGCTTAAGATCGATTTTGAAGTTTCTTTTTATCCTATTCCATCATTTCTTATCATCAAATCAAACTTCTAATCATGATTAATAACACATCTTGCAAAGGATTTAGTGTGTTGATTATGATTAGTGAGTAGTCACCTTAATGAGGTTCTAGATGTGTAGGTTAGGGTGCTAAAGTGTTAGATTAGGAGTGCTTAGGGCTAGATTCATTGATTCATTTCTCTAAACAACTGTTCTCTATGCTAGATCCTTGATAATCACTTGAGATCTAGATTCTGGGAATTTCATGCACCAAAAGTGTTTGATGAAATTCCTGAAAGAGTTGTATTAAAGGTTTAAGAATTTTTCTGCATGATGATGTATTGTTATTTGCTTGAATGATCATTGAGAACTGTTTATGAATGCATATTGATTCATATTTCACAAATGAGAATTTGGTTTGAAAATGGATTAGTATAGGGGTTAATACCTTCATGAGAGGATTAACCTAGATTAGAGTTCTTAATCATTTGAATCATGTCTCATCATTGTCATTAACATTTCTAGTTTAGCACCAAGCACCCTAACCAACTATCATGTCTAGAATCTCATGCCTCCATCATAGTATATTCACATCATTTGTCATTGCTTAGTTCTTGTTTTGTCATTGTCATTAGTCTTTAATCCAGTTTATGTTTGTAGTTGTCTCTAGATTAATCAAAACCCACTCTTGTTTGCTTGAATTAAGAACTTGATCACATAGTTTAGTGTCTAACACCACATCTGGATTGATTAACCTCTTTGTGCTACATTGACAAGGGGATTGATAGCCCTGAGACCCTAAAAAGTCTTATCTATCACCAGGCTCAGGCTAATCAAGCGCAGGCAGGAAGAAATGAACAACAAGCCTATGTTAACCAGCAACAGGCTCAAAGAAACGAACGGCTTGCTCAGCAAAACCAACACCAAGCGAATAGAAATAAGCAACAAGCCCATCATGTTCATCCGCCTCCGCCACAAGTTCAGAGACAACATCCTCCAATCTGTGTTGGAGATAATGACCGAGCTAATGCGCACCAATACCGAGCTGGAATTCAAGCTCCACCAGTCCAAAACAACAACTTTGAAGTTAAAGCTTCCCTGCTCAATATGGTGCAAAACTCAAAGTTCCACGGACTGGCTGGAGAAGACCCTCTCGAGCATCTAGATCAATTTGATCGGGTTTGCGACTTAACCAAGATAAATGGCGTCTCCGAAGATAGCTTCAAGCTACGCTTGTTCCCTTTCAGCCTCGGTGATAAAGCACACCAGTGGGAAAAGAATATACCGAGGGGTTCTATACAAACCTGGGAGCAGTGTAAACTGGCGTTCTTATCAAAGTTCTTTTCCACATCACGCACGGCTAAACTCAGGAATCAGATCTCAAGTTTCACGCAGCACAGCAACGAGAGCTTTAGTGAAGCTTGGGAACGGTTCAGGAGCTACACTAACCAATGCCCACACCACAGCTTCTCAGAGGCATCCCTCTTGAGTACTTTATACCGAGGTGCACTCCCCAAGATCAGAAACCAACTCGATACAGCCTCAAATGGAAATTTTCTTGGGAAAGAGATCAATGCGGCAATGGAACTAGTCGAGAACCTAGCCATGTCCAATGACACATATGGAGAGGACTTTGATAGAGCAAACCGTACAGAGGGATCTAGTGATGAACAGCGTATGAAAAAAGATATAAGAGAGCTTCAGAGCAAGCTTGACAAGGTTTTGATGGCGACTCAAAAGCCAATACACTTTGTAGGCGAGTTTGATGAGCAAGGGCCAAGTTTTGACAATGTTAATGAAGATGGTCTAACACAAGAAGAGCTGAATTACATAGGGAATCAGCAGAGGTATCAGCGGTTTAACAACTACAACAGTAACCCAAACCTCTCATACAGAAACCCGAATGTAGCTAACCCTCAAGACCAAGTGTACCCTGCTCAACAACAACAACAAAGCTATGCTCAAAAGGCTCCTTTTCAGAATACCTTCCAGCCCAAGCAACAGTTCAGTGGGCAACAGCACGGCTACACTCAGCAGAATCAAGCGGCTCAGGGTAACAACTTCACCAGCCAACCGCAGCAACACAAGTTTCCACCAGGGTTCAATCCGCAGCCGATGGGTAATCAGCAACAGATTCAGGGACCGGGTCAGAATCAGATGGGGAACGACGTCTGTGGGATATTACAGCAACTGCTACAGGGCCAGCAAAGGGTTGAGAGCCAGCACGCGACAATGCAGCAAGATATCAGGGAGCTTAAGCAAAACCAGGCATCTACATCATCAAGAGGCCCGGCTCTACCAGGTAAACCGGAGCCGAACCCTAAAGAGTATGTGAACGCCATCACATTGAGGAGTGGTAAGGAATTACAAACTCCAACGCCTAAAACAAAGCTCATTGAGGGCAATGAGCAACTAGAGGGGGAGGCAGCCTCAGATGATGCGCATAAAGAAAAGGTCTTAGAGAAGGAACCGATCAATGACAAAGGAAAAGAGGTGGAAAAGACAGCCGAGCTTGAAAAGCCCTATGTTCCACCACCACCTTATCAACCCAAGATACCGTTCCCAGGGCCAGCAAAGGGTTGAGAGCCAGCACGCGATCCTCAACAAGACAAAGGAGCTTGAAAAGCCCTATGTTCCACCACCACCTTATCAACCCAAGATACCGTTCCCAGGGCCAGCAAAGGGTTGAGAGCCAGCACGCGATCCTCAACAAGACAAAGGAGCTCCAGGGTATGGTGATACTGAGTCATGAGTGCAGCGCAATAATACAAAGGAGATCTGTACCAAGGAAGCTATCCGATCCGCGCAGCTTTACTTTGCCGTGTTCCTTAGGTCACCTGAAGTTCTCAAACTGTTTATGCGACCTTGGAGCTTCTGTGAGCTTAATGCCTTACACGGTGGCCAAGAGATTGGGATACAAAAGCTACAAGCCGGCCAAGATCTCTCTTGTATTAGCTGATAGATCGGTTAGATTACCGGTGGGGTTGCTTGAGGATTTACCTTTAAGGATCGGTGAGATAGAAATCCCCACGGACTTCATAGTTCTTGAGATGGACAAGGAACCATTAGACCCTATCATCTTGGGCCGACCGTTCTTAGCAACCGCAGGAGCCATAATAGATGTGAGAGGAGGAATGATTGAACTACACATCGGTTCCGAGACTATGAAGTTCAACGTGAAGGAGATGATGAAGAAACCGACCATTGGAGGTCAGGTTTTCTATGTGGAAGTGATGGAGGAGCTAGCTGATGAGCTCCTAGAAGAGTTAAACGCAGAAGACCCATTGCAAGTGGTCTTGACACGTGAACAAAGCGAGCACGGGTACTTGAACGAGGAAAGCGAGGTGTACAAGCGTCTTTTGGACCAACCGAGGGAACTTGGATCTGAGGCGAGGTTTTTGGAGCTCAGGAAGAGTGGCCTCGACATCTTAGACAGCGAGGGATCCACGGAAACAGAAGAGACACCTCGGGATATCCTGGCCGTGACAACTCATACCGAGGCCGATGGTAAACCGCGCGAGAATGAAGCAAAGGCCGAGGAAGCTGTTCCAGGCCAATGCAGCTTTGACGCCGATTGGAATGAGGCAGACGCACCCCCTGTTGAGCTAAAGCCTCTACCAACAGGGCTCAGGTATGCGTTCTTAGGTCTGAACTCTACTTTTCCTGTGATCATAAACGATAGCTTGCTTGAACATGAAGAACGTGCATTGCTTAATGAAATAAGGAAATTCAGGAGAGCTATAGGGTATTCCTTGGCTGACATTAGAGGAATCTCTTCTGATATATGCACCCACAGGATCCACCTGGAGGACCAAGCCATGTCATCTATTGAGCACCAACGTCGCCTTAACCCGAACCTCAAAGAGGTGGTTAAGAAGGAGATACTAAAGCTCCTTGAGGCAGGGATAATATATCCAATCTCTGACTCTCGGTGGGTATCTCCTGTACACGTTGTGCCCAAGAAAGGTGGGATCACGGTGGTGAAAAACGATAAGGATGAACTCATAGCCCAAAGAACTATAACCGGCCATCGCATGTGCATTGACTATAGGAAATTGAATTCTGCATCAAGAAAAGATCATTTTCCTTTACCATTCATTGATCAAATGCTTGAACGGTTAGCTAATCATCCTTATTTTTGTTTTCTCGATGGATACTCGGGGTTCTTTCAAATACCTATAGACCCCCGAGATCAAGAGAAAACCACATTCACCTGCCCTTACGGCACTTATGCTTATAGAAGAATGCCATTCGGTTTGTGCAATGCACCGGCCACTTTTCAAAGATGTATGATGCACATTTTCTCTGATCTAATTGAAGAGAAAGTTGAGGTGTTTATGGATGACTTCTCCGTACACGGCTCCTCTTTCTCCGAATGTCTTGCTAATCTTTCTCAGGTTCTCAAACGATGTGAGGAGCATAGGCTTGTCTTGAACTGGGGGAAGTGTCATTTCATGGTCCAAGAAGGCATTGTCTTGGGACACAAGGTATCAGAGAAAGGCATCGAGGTGGATAAGGCCAAGATCGAGGTGATGGTGAACTTACAAGCCCCGAATTCTGTGAAAGGAATAAGAAGCTTGCTTGGCCACGCTGGGTTCTATAGACGGTTCATCAAGGATTTCTCCAAGATAGCCAGGCCCTTGACCAGGTTATTGTGCAAAGAAGTGGATTTCAACTTTGATGAAGAATGTGAGGAAGCGTTCAAGAGGATCAAGGAGGCTTTGATCAGTGCACCGATTGTACAAGCCCCTGATTGGTCTTTACCATTTGAAGTGATGACCGATGCATCTGATTATGCCGTGGGAGCTGTCTTGGGGCAGAAGAAAGATAAGAAGCTCCACGTGATTTACTATGCCAGCCGCACCTTAGACTCGGCTCAAGAAAAGTATGCCACCACCGAGAAGGAAATGCTTGCCACTGTGTTTGCATTTGACAAATTCAGGAGTTATCTAGTGGGATCAAAGGTCACGGTTTACACAGATCACGCGGCCTTGAGGTACCTGATGTCTAAGAAGGACGCTAAGCCGAGGCTTTTGAGATGGGTCTTATTGCTCCAAGAGTTTGATATGGAGATACTTGACAAGAAAGGCATTGAAAACGGAGCCGCAGATCACCTCTCCAGGTTGAGAATTGAAGAACAGGTCCCGAGTGATGATACACTACCGGAGGAGACCCTTATGCTAGTCAGGTCTTACCTAGAAGTGGAGGAATCCAACACGATCAAAGAAAGAAGCCTTCCATGGTTCGCGGATCTTGTGAACTACTTGTCTTGCGGTTTAGAGCCACCGGATCTTGATACTTATCAGAAGAAAAAGTTCTTTAGAGATGTGATAAGGTATTATTGGGATGAGCCATACCTTTACGTGCTTAACAAGGATCATCTCTATAGGCGATGCTTGGCCGAAGAAGAGATCCATCCGGTGCTACAAAAATGCCACAGCTCATCGTATGGTGGTCATTTAGGTGTGTTCAAGACAGTTGCCAAGGTTCTACAGAGTGGTTTCTGGTGGCCGACCATGTTCAAAGACGCCCAAGAAGTGGTCTCGAGGTGTGAAGCTTGTCAAAGGCACGGAAACATATCCAAAAGGAATGAAATGCCCCAAAACCCAATCTTTGAAGTGGAGGTCTTCGACTGTTGGGGCATTGACTTCATGGGCCCCTTTGTAAACTCATATGGGAATCAATATATCCTTGTGGCAGTGGATTATGTGAGTAAATGGGTTGAAGCGGTTGCATCTCCGACCAACGATTCAAAAGTGGTGGTAAAACTCTTCAAGAGTATCATCTTCCCACGGTTTGGAGTACCAAGAGTAGTCATCAGTGATGGGGGAAGCCATTTCATCAACAAGACCCTTGAGAGTCTTTTGAAGAAGCACGGAGTAAAGCACAAGGTGGCCACCCCTTATCATCCGCAAACCAGCGGCCAAGTGGAGGTTTCCAACCGTCAGATAAAGGCCATTTTGGAAAGGACCGTGAACTCATCCAGGAAGGATTGGAGCAAGAAACTTGACGATGCTCTGTGGGCTTACAGAACCGCCTACAAGACCCCCATTGGGACTTCACCATTTAACTTGCTCTATGGGAAAAGCTGTCATCTACCGGTTGAGTTAGAATACAAGGCCTTGTGGGCAGTGAAACTTCTGAACTTCGACATCAAGACCGCACAAGAGAAAAGAGTTCTACAGCTTCATGAGCTTGAGGAAATCCGGTTAGATGCTTTTGAGAGCTCTAAGATCTACAAAGAAAGAACCAAGGCGCTCCATGACAAGAAGATACACAAGAGAGAGTTCAAAGAAGGGGACCAAGTTCTGTTGTTTAACTCAAGACTTAAGCTGTTCCCTGGGAAGCTGAGGTCTAGGTGGTCCGGTCCATTCACGATTCTTGAAGTAAGACCCTATGGAGCCGTGGTTTTGAAAGGAAAAGATGGACAAGGTTTTGTGGTAAACGGCCAGAGGGTAAAGCATTACTT